CAGCAGGAATTGGACGCAATAAATGTAAAGGAGGAAGCTCTAAGAGCCGTATGTATGATAAGAAGTAATCTCTGTACCAATCTTCACTGAACTCTAGTGTAAAATACAATACAGTAGAAAATTACCTGTGATCCTTCTCCTTAAATTTTCAGATACTGTAGGATCATGCCCTAGAATGGGAAGGCAAAGCTGCCTCTCTGTTTTCCACCTCTAATCAGTTGTGGGTAAAAATTGTTTTTGCTAGATGCCAAGTGCAAGTTTTCAATAGCAATAGTGGGGTTTCCTAGCTTTAGTTACTCATGTGGTTTCAAATGTTTTGTGTTACTGTCGTGGTTTAGCCCCAGCCAGCAACTAAGCACCACGCAGCCACTCGCTCACTCCCTCTACCCCCGTGGGATAGGGGAGAGAATTGGAGGAGTAAGAATGAGAAAACTCCTGGGTTGAGATAAGAACAGTTTAATAATTGAAATAAAGTAAAATAGTAAAGATAATAGTAACAATATAACAACAACAACAACAATAATAATAATAATATAATATACAAAGCAAGTGATGCACAATGCAATTGCTCACCACCCGCCGACCAATACCCAGACAGTTCCCGAGCAGCGATCGCTCCCCCCGGCCAACACCCCACACTTTCTATCCTGAGCATGACGTCCTATGGTATGGAATAGCCTTTTGGTCAGTTTGGATCAACTGTCCTGGCTGTGCCCCCTCCCAGTTTCTTGTGCACCTGGCAGAGCATGGGAAGCTGAAAAGTCCTTGACTAGCAAAAGCAGTACTTAGCAACAACTAAAACATCAGTGTGTGATCAACATTCCTCTCCTACTAAATCCAAAACACAGCACTGTGCCTGCTACATAGGAAGAAAATTAACTCTATCCCAGCCGAAACCAGGACAGTGACATTTGATTGATTTGGAATTACTCTCTGAAGATAAACGTGAAATTATCATTCACGCCCTTCCTAAGGATTTGTGACACCTGATTTTTCAATATGTTTTCAACTGTCAGGATGTGTGAGAATGATTTTCTTGTTCCACATTCCATTTCAAAAGCAACTGGCATTTGAAGCACAAAGTGGTGCCTGCTAAGACAGTTTTTATCCCACATACATACATAAACACACACTTCTAATACACTGTCATATTGCTAGATTGAGGAGAATTTTCCCATATTAGGTCTTTCCTGGATAAAAGGATCTATGAGCTGAAACGTAGTCGTTTATATTTAGAAAGTATAACTTTCAAATAGTACTTGACATTTATCCAGCCCTTTTGAGTACTGTATATGGTTTGTGATTCCCTAGAAATGATGAAGTAGTAAGTCTACTCAGAAAATTGGCCTGAAGATGAACTCATAAAGTAAGAAGTAGCTGACTGGGATATTCTATTCCAGAAAATGCAATATTGAGAATATGGATTATAAAGTTAATTGTTTATACTGTTTCTGTACTGTTTGTAACAAATAAGCTTCACTTCCAATGTATAGAATCATAGAATCATAGAATGCTTTGGGTTGGATAGATAACTTCTGCTTAACTAAAGCGTAAATTCTGCAATGCTCTTTTGCCATCTGAAAATAGCTAGTGGATGTTTGCTTTTCCCAACAGGAAATAGCACACTCTCAGGTGAAACAGGAGGCTGTGCAGCTGTATGAAAAGCTCCATGAGCTTGAGGAACGTCGAGATCAAATGATTGCTGAGGATAAGAACATGGAATCTCCACAGGAGGAAAGAGAGAGATTACTAAAGCAGGCAAGAACATAAAATGTTATCACATAAAAGATTCTCTGAGTCGGTATTTTAAGGGATGATAATATTTGAAAATACTTGGGTTTGAATCTTGCCTTTATTTCCTCTTTAAGCAGCACAAATCATCTGAAATTAAGAACAGTTAATGAATTAGCTGGATGGGGTGTTTCAGCTTCAGCCAAAGCAAAATTGGCACAGTCAGCTTTTCAGCTGGTTGACTTACTCCAATTCATCGGTCATGTTGGTGTGGGAAAACTGATCCTACTGAACAGTTCTATAATATAACTCAGGATGGTATCCTTGTGGAGTGCTGGGCAGACGTAGTAATCCAGGAACAATTTAGTTAGTTTACAAGGGTCTATGCTGTGTTATGTAACTATCTATATATACTATATGGATTATTGGACTGAATGACACTGGTAAGTGTGTCTGATTTTTAAATGTGTATTGAGAAAGCAGGAGAACATTTGGAATACACAATACTTAAATCATATCACTTCTCTTCAATGAAGAGCCCTTGTTGGACAATGTGATAGCAAGTTTGTGATTTTATATGCCAAGTTTCTATTCCCTGTATACTGAATTAAGAAATCATTTTTGATTTTCCTTTTTTCATTTGTAGATTTTATTTCATATGTTAAAGTTGTTATACTTTTTTATAGGTTAAGGACGATAGTCAAGAAATAGCAAGCATGGAAAGACAGTGAGTAATCCCATTATACCATTGCTACAAATTACATTTAGACCCTAAAGACAGATAGTTGAATTCCATCACATATTTCTATGGACTTCTAGAACATCACCACGATTTCGAGCCTCTGCTAGTGTTAGCCTTTCACAGAGAACAGATAATATCCTTCTGTTTCAGCTAAACAACTTTTATAGTGATAGGACATTTAGATCTGCGTAACAAGATACTTCCTAGCCTTATGAACATGCCTTGAGAATATAAATCAATAATAGCACTGACAAAAACTTCTTTAAGACTGAAGAAGACATTCATCCATAAGAGCTACTCATCTGGGACATCTGTGAAGTTGAGCCTACATTATGCTGCAGTCACAGTTTGAAGAGTTTTTTACATTTTCTTGAAACTTAGGTTTTAAGTTTTCTTAAAACTTAGGAGTTACAAAGTTGCTTACAGAAAGTTCAGTTCTAAAGAGTAACAGGGCATTGCTTCTTGATTCTTGGGTACTGGGCCTTTCTGAAGATTTTCCAGAAACTCTGGTAAATGTTATAATAAATAGTATTGGGGGGGGGGAGGATAAAACAGTACAATATTTTTGTGATTTTGAGCCTTTTGATTTCTCTCTGTTAACAGAAAAATTGAGCTAATTCCTGAAATCTCCTAGAAACAATTTTAAATTCCTTTAAGCAGTATTCCCAACTGTAATCATTGGTTAATTTTTAATGCATTGGCACCTTTGATTGGATAATAGATTGATTAACAGAATTTCTGGAAAGAAACAATAACAGAATTAGATTTGAGAATTTACATAGAAGTGTTTCTAAGGTAATTTCCTTTCTCACTTCGATTGATTATGTAATACAAGGTTTTACTTGGCAATTTCTTGATGGATTTTAGTGAACACATAGGTAATTTTTAAGGAATAAAGTTCCTTGTTGCATTTTACCAATTATGTTTTACCTCTGCAAAGCTGTATAGCAACCGCCAGAGGGACCGGTTGAGTAAGTTAAGAACCACTGATGACTCAACAAAAAATGTTTTTAATAAAAAAGCACCAGTACTTATGTTTAATAGATATAGGGACTGAAGTGACAGATGCTTTACATATACCTTTTATAATAGCAGCAAACTGCCTGATATTATTTTGATTTTGATAAACTTAGGTTTGCTATTTTTATTCTTGATTTTTCTCTCCATTTTTGCCTAAAAAATAAGTATTTTACAACACATTTTTAACCTTGGGTTTCATTATCTATTTGTCAGGCTGACAGAAGTAAAAGAAAAAACAAACCATTTTAAAAAGGTTATTCAACGACTTGATATGGATCTGGAGAATCATCAAGGTAATATGACCAGAGACTAATCTGACTATGCAGAGCTGCATGTGTTCATATCATAACACATATTGTTAGGGACATTAGTTGTCTGAAGCTTTTAGGCTTATGCAGATGTCCATTATTCACCATCAGAAGAAGGTTTTGTGCTTAACGGTACAGGCTTTTCTTTTCAGATGTGAGAGATGGGGAGTACCCACCCTTAGTGGCATGTTCATCAAGTTCATATTGAGTAGTAAAACTGCCATATAAAATAATAGTATGGCTGTCTGGTTTTGTGTCCCAATTTTATTTTTAGGACTACTGGAGGAATAGAAGTTTCTCTTACTGGCAGCATTGCAGAACCAGCTCAGCTTTGGAAAAGCTTTTATTTATTTTACGTTTTACATGATCTGATATACTGTCAGTGAATGTGGAATTGAGAATGCTTAACAATAACGTGTAAAGCAGACAGTATTCAGCACTATATTTATCAGTCTTTAAAACTTCTTGGGTTGATCTTTGCAAGAAGAGTTTGGGAACTGCCTAGAAATGGCATTAGCTTAGAAACTTATCTCCAGCAAACACCTGCTGTAGTACATTAGGCTAGGTTAGGTTGGGATTTGCCCTAGCACTGGAAGTTATGCTTCTGGAGGACATAACTTAGCTTGTGCATAGGCCCTCAACGGCTGCGGAAGATTTTCCTTAAAATGGAAATCATCACATGGAAAACCTTCTTCGAATTATAAGGAATCTTGTTTAGATAGGAGTTACATAAATACGTGCATACTTTCTGGAAAACCTTGTAACAAGTTACTTAAATTCTATAGGACTGATGAATTAATGTGTTTGTGTACTTTTTACTTTATACCTTTTCTTGGGTGATCAGTGTAAAATTAAGTGTAAATTCTTCAAGGTGAACAAATATTTCTAAAATTGACCCTAAACAAATGTTTGATATGTCTGTTTCTCATCTTTTGCATTACAAAATATTTCATCTTTCTCCAGATATTTCAGTATTTTTGTGCAAATAATTTGTTAAGACTGTTTTATTAGCTTTCGTGTTTCCAGATAATATCATTGCCAACTTCACTATTCTGCTTTAATTTTTCCCTTTTGTTTGGCTTGCAACTCTTTTTTTGTACCTTTGGAGAAATGCAGAAGGTAAGAAGTGAGTTGCTTTTCGCATTTTATAGTTAGGTTTACACACACAATCATTCATTGCTGGACTGTATGTCTTCACTGTTTTAGAAAAAGACCTCTGTTGAAGAAGAGGGTTTAAAGCATATGTAGGAGAAAGCATGTGCTCTCTGTCAACATATCAGGAATGGTCAGGATATTCAGAATAAAGTTATCTTGTGGTGTAATACAGAGGGAATGATACCTATTGGTATAACATAGAGAAAAAAAAGAAGATATTTATAAGGAGTAGCTTTAAGACACAGCAATCTAAACTCCCAATGCCCTCTTCTCTAGTGAATGGAGAGAGAATCCCAGAGGGCCATTCATACTTCTGCTATAAATCAGCATCCTGGTGTGTCCTCAAGATTCCTGTCCTCCCTCCCTCCCCGGTCAGCTTACTTCTGGCTCAGTATTTAAACTGTTTGTTACAAAGCATTCCCCAAACTTCAGCTCTTAAAGTTTTTTTGTTAAATTTAAGGTAAAATAGCCAGTGGAAAAAAAAAAAATTACAACTAAGGATTTTTTGACTGTTTCAGGATAAATATTTTAGTGCTAAGAATATTTTTGAGCAGGAAAAACAAAATAAACAGACCATAAATAGAAATAACTATTTTTAGTTTTCACTTAAGAAAATCTAAATAAGTAAAAAATTCATCCACTTATTATATGTTCCATATATTAGCAGTTACCTTTAACTGATTAGTCAATATAAACATTAACTCATAATGGGATAGACTTAACACTTCATAAATTGCATGAGAGGCTAAGATATTGATGTAATAATGCCATATTTTAAAGAAAACTCTTCTGTAAAGACATTTTTAAAATTGTGGTCTTTATTTCAATTTTTTTGTTTGTTTGTTTAAACACTTGGCAGATGATGTAGCTCTCTGCTTCATGCCTCACTGTAAGCAGACTTTTTAAGAGTAGAACAGACTGGGTTATTAAGTATTGGAGACTTGACTTGCAAAATGAAAGAGAGAGTCCAGCAAGGAACAAAGCCACAGCTGCAAGGAAGCTGAAGCAGAATCACAGTCCCTTAGGGGCCCACAGGCGTTCTTATTGTTTGTATATACTAGATAAAAAGGAAAGCATGGGGGTGTACAAGTAAAAAGACCTGGAGAAAGTTGCTTGCTCAGTTATATCTGTATCTACTTCATTCTTTTTCTTTGCATTCTTTACAGTTACAAGATTATGCTGAAAATTAATCAATGACCAAGACTCAAACAATTAAAAATTTAGATGTTTGAAACTTAAAATTATTCTTATGAAGTGAATTGTCTTATCTTCCTGAAACTTGTGACAGATATATCAGGTCTTCCACTTTACTAGTACATTTTAATAAAGAGTTATTTATAGACAGTAGTCAGATTTAAAGATGGAGTGAATTACGTATTGTATGTTTTTCATTACTCCTGATACCACTATAAAGAATGTGTATGGAAATGTTCTTTGAAACTTAATTGTTGAAAGTTTTCTGTGCATTTTATTTTCCTATACCATTGCTTGTAGAGTTTTCCTGTTTATTTCCCTGAGATTGTCACACTGTTGCTTACAAGCTGCATAACCTTATGAAAGTCCATTCTAAGATGTGAAAGTGCCATTGAAATGGCCCATATGTTAAACAGAGCTGCAGAAAGTTTTAACTATGGTGCCCAAATACACAAAAGCATTTGTTCTCTATTATTGAAATTCACCTGACTTCAGAAAAATCCTATGAACTTCCTTTGTTCAAACCAAGTATTTATCCCACTCTTATTTATCAAAAAATCTAACCTCTAAAAGGTTCTAACAGCTGCATTGAGGCTGATTTATTAAGCTAGGGTTTTTTTTTAATGTAAAAGTGTGTATGACATAGTCAGTTGAAGTGACTACATTAAATGACATGGGATGAGTCCTGAAGTTTCTAGGCATGTAGAATTTTTATTTTTAAAACTGACATTTTGCCTACCTAAAGGAATCCAGGACTGAGACAATATAAAGTTAAATCAATGTTACATCTCTTGCAGGAGAGGAAAATTGGAAATACAAGGAGCTGAAGAAGAGGGAAGAAAGCATGGACAGTAAGTTGTCTAACATACTTTAATTAGGCCTAATTCCACTAAAATGCAGGTTTTCTTGTATTGTTAACACTCAGTTAATTTAGAGCTGAAAAGAATTGATGTTCTGATCTTTGCATAAAGTTTCTGTGATCTACCTCAGGACAAGATCATTGATATCTTAGGACTTACAGGACAGTCACAAATATTTGGAGCATCTTTCAAGGCTTTTCGTCAAACATTAAAGGTCTTAGGAACACAGCTTTATTTTATGAAAGCAAGGCTGAAATTAATTTTAAAATTAATTTAAATAAAAGATATATAAAACCAGCTGTTCAGGTCTGATTAAAAGCAGAACTTCAAAATGGACAAGTGTAGACATCACGTAATTTTTTAAAGCTTCTCATATCTGTTTCTTCGAGATGAATGCTACTAAAACTTTCTTCCATATTAAAAGGTTCTAATGTTGTAGAGACCTCAGCAGCAACTAACAGAGGATGAAGACAGAACTGTTTTTAAAATACACCCTGTTGCTAGCACACTGTAGTAGGCAGCTTACAAAAAAAGTTGGTCTGTTACTCAGCAAAAGGGGAAAATGATCAATAAATATGCCATGAAGGCCAAAGTATATAGTACCTTTTTGTAACAGTGTTCCCTAAAAGTGTTCAGGATAACTTACAGCTGGCATGATACTGAAAGAAAGGTCTCAGCTGACAATAAGGAAAGATGGATAAGACCATACTTAGAGAGTTTCTGCGATTTCAAATTACCTGATTTCCTGAGAAGCAGAAGGGCAAAAGCTCACTTGATCTTGATTTTCAGTACAAACACAGACTGTGGAAGTGGGGCCTCATGATCCTTCTGACTTTTTGGGTTTTGATTCTGCTTCTGCCCTTTATCAGAGGATATTGATGCAGTTGCAGAACTGTTTGAGATTAACTGAGAGGTTTGGGGGAATGTGCAGGAATCTTAAAGATGGGAAGAGAGCAAATGGTACCTGTCTTGAAGAAGACAAGCCAGGGAAGTATAGACCAGTCAGCTTAGTGTCAATATCCAGAAAGACTGTGGAAAAAATAAGCAAGCAAACAATTTGTAAACGTTACAGAAACAGGTATATGAATAGCACTAGTAATGATTTGTAAGGAACAAACAACTAATTTCCTTCTTTGACAGAAAAATACTGCAGAATAAAGGAGGAGCAGCAGATGATTTGTACTTTGATTTCAATACATCTGCTGCTGCTGTCTTGTGGTGTTCCTAGAAGCAAGCTAGGGAAATATTGTCCCTTATTAATATATACTCTGCATTTGATTAAAAAAATTGTTAATTATGAAGGATTCACTGCCAAGATGGAAGGATGTATTGAGTAGAGTTTTGCAAGTGTGTTGGATGTTCAGGTTAGTCAATATTTTTATTAATCAGTTGGATGACAGGAGACTAAATACATAGTTTTGCAGAAAAGCTGAAACCATGTTGGAGAACAGGGTTAGAATTTAAAATACTTACAGCAGATTAGAAATGAAGTACAAAAAGTTCAAAAAGGATTAAGTCTAAGTTTATACACTTAGGGAGAGTTGATTACTCAATAGCAAAAGTACAGAATAGGGAGCAGTTCATCAGGCACAGCTCTGTGGTATGGCTCAGAGTTGCAGGGAAAGGCAAACTGAACACGGCTCAGCCGTATCACCCTAACAGGGAAGAGGAAATACCACAGCAGTAGGTATACATAGGAGTGTAATTTGTCAAACACAAGAAGTAATCTTGTTCTCTGTGCATTGAGGAAGGCTTCCAATTGGAGTATTGTCTCTAGTTTTGCACATAAAGAAAGAGGCTGGCAGTCTTGAAGAGAGACTGATGAGGGACACAGAAAGCATGACTTGTAAGGAAATACTAAAGAACAAGTCTTTTAAAATTTTAGAGAATTTGTGACAGTCATCAAATGTGTAAAAAAGCTGTTTCAAATAATAAGCGAACAATCCATCTCTGCATATACATGCAGGACAGAAAAGGAGTAATACACAAATATTTGCAAAAAGATTTTGTATTGGATATTATAAAAAACTTACTAACATTAAAACTCACCAAATGTTGGAACAGATTGTTCAGGAGAATTGTAGAGTATCTATCATGAGTTGTCTGTAAGAAGAGTATAGACAAATACGAATTACTGACATACAGTTGTTCTTGTCCTGGAGCAAGTGAATTAATTAGATGACCTCTTGCAGTTTCTTCCATTCAGTTTTTTACGAATCTGTGAAACACATAGCGCTCAAATGAAACAAGGTCCGTCAGACAGGTGTGATGAAAAGGAAAGCTGCCTGCAGAAAGACATGAAATGAGATGTAAATATGGACCTTACTTAATGTTTCTAAATAAATTCCAAGACGGTTTGAAAAAACCCACGTAAAAAGGTCCAGAATGCCAAATGAGAAAAACACTAGTCAAATCATATAGGTATGATTCTTAGGTTCTAATTCCAGTGTTTTGGGCTCAGTTTTATAAAATTATATATTTGTGGATGTAAAGTGCTTTAGCTTTGTTCTCTTGTTTCATATTTTTGAATGTGTGAGAATGCTTTTCTTTCATGAAGGCGCTTTTACTTCATTCCTGTGCCTTCCCTATGTATATGCTTTGGAAGATTCAATATCCTCATTGCCTACAGCTTCCTTTAGAAGCAAATAAACAGGTTTATCAAGATATTGCAATGAACTTATTTAAGACCTCTTGTAAAGACACATCAAAGACCCATGGCATCATCTGTTATGTTGAAAAGAAGTGGCTTAGACCCCCACAGGAGACAGATGTTAATGAAGCCTTTGCTCGCTACTAGAGAACTAAAGAGTTAACTGTGATTGAAAGTTTTGTGTTAGGTTATCTGAGTGATTCTCTTTGTAAAAACTACCCACTTAATTTTTTAAACAAAAAAGGAAAGAACATCTCCAATGTTTTAAACAAAAAACATGAAGTGAGAATTTCAATACTCTTACTTTCCTTACTGCCTTTCCCTTACTTCCGTTGTGCTCAGATATTTTCTTAGTGTAGAAAATTCCTGTCCATATTTCACAGCAACAGATGGTATGAAATATCTGGTAAGTTCCCTTTGAGGAAGGAGCTCTTTTTGGAGCTGTCATTGTTGCTCCTCTTATTAAAGTATAATTGTGCTATCTTTAAGATAAAACAAGACAAGTTCATTCTGAAGGAAAAGAACATCACAGAGAGAAAATAAAACTTCCCTTTCTAAGGGTAGCTTCATTTTCAGCCTGGGTACTGGGGAAAAACAGACCTGGCAATGGTCTTATTCAGCTCTTGGGACTTAACTAGATTTTTTCCATTGCGGGCTGTTTAAGCTTTGGTTTTAACTATGTTTCTGGTTACTAGTTCACAGCAGTGTTGGCAAAAGGTAAACCTTCTTACATTCTTGCCAGGTACTGTTCTCAACAGTTAATAGTCGGTGTCAGGTGGACTGAAACTTTATTTCAACTTTTTAAGCCAACTGAATCTGCATCAGAACTAGTCATTATTTTCAGCAATCAACTGTGCACATTACAAATGTGTTGTCTAATGCCATTTGTTGACCTCTAAGAATTCCAAGTGTCTTTCATCCTGAAATCTGTGCCTCAGAGATGGTCTTTGTCCTATCTTAGTATTGTCCCCTGGCTCCAATAATGCACATTTTCCCCTCTAAAAGTTTTAGAAGCTGTGCTCTGTGAAGCATCTCTGTTAACTCTTGGACAGCATTGCAGATGATGTCAGATATTACAAGAGTTTTCTTATCCATAAATGTCTTATTGCTAAAGAATTTAAAAATTAGGTGTTTCTAAAAAAATGGATGGATGCTCTGGGATCCACAATTGTCTAGTCAGGATTTGTCAGTATTTCCGTTAAGTAGTTCCTCCTGTCTTCTTTATCTCTTCCCAAATAATCCATCTTGAATTTACTATTATCTAACCAGCTAGAAAGTTTACAAACTCTCACATTTCCTGAGTGCTCCTCTGTGTATAAGCCATGTTTCAGGAGGAGACCCAGCAGGAGAGGGATGATCATAACTTACAGCCCTTGGGCGGCATCTTGATGGACCTCTGACTTCCATGTGATGTCTCCAGCACATTGTTTTCAATATGTCTGTCACCAGGAATACAATGTAGTATGCCTAGGACACAAACACAAAGTGCATACCAGCGTTACAACTGTCTTGTCAGATTCAGCTGGACACTTACTCGAATGAACATTAATTAAAGATGTAGCAAGGAGACATCATACAGAAAGAAAGAGATGATACCAGGTGAATATTGGTCTCAGGTCCTTAGCACTGTTTGGCATTTAGTCCAGGCCATTAGAGATAGTGAAGTCACCTGTTTCCTTTGTTCAATAGCCCATTTTGATAACTTTCAGAAAAATGAATACCTACTGCTGCAGGGACAAGCATTCAGAAAGGTGTCAGAAATGATGGTCATGAAAATCCTTTCCCTTTGGGTGGCAACCGTCATGTAAACAGTGTCCAAGAAGGTGGTGACCTCATGTTATTAATCAGACAAACATATGTCTCTGGAAGAATTGTCCTCTTTTTCCTTCCAACCCATAAGGGGGCAAGTCTCAAGGACTCTACCACCTGCCTGTTAGATAAACTATTAAACTAACCTGTCTGAAATTGTACAGCTTATCAATTTAATACAAAGTTTTGACTGGAAACAACAAGGGTTTGTGCTGTACCCATGCAGATAGAAGCCGCCTTTATCATATTTGTTGATCTCTAGATTTTCTTGAGACTTTTGAAGAGGTGAAGAATCAGGAATTGGAACGAAAGGCCCAAATAGAAGCTAATATTGTTGCACTCCTGGAGCACTCAAGCAGGGTAAGTGCATTTCTCTCCTCCTGTGGCAAGCTAGGAGGTCAGAAGCACAGAACAGGAGAATGAATGGATAAAGAAGGATGGTTTTTTTATACATTATCCAGTCAGTATCTGCATAATAATCTCTTAAGAGGATTAAACATTAAACCATGTACAACTGTAGGTTAAAAAAAAAAAAAAAAAAAGATTTGTTTAATTTGTCTTCATTTCTGGGGAAGGAGTTTTGAACATTAGATAATACTTGTGACCAGAATAAAAGAAAACTTTGCATAATTGCTGTAACTCATCATCATTGCTATAATGTATATTATTCCATTCATGATAAACATTTCAGAATACTGCAAATAAAACTATTGCAATGTTTTGTTTGCCTAAAGTCTGCAAATCTCAGTTCATGGGTATTCTGTCACTACTATTAACTAACTGACAATATTCCAGTTGTCTCTCTGATCTACTAAAATTATGTCTGGAAAACCCTGCTGTGTAATATTTAATGTAAACAGTTTAGAAGTTGTTCCCATTTGCAGTCTGCCATTTTTTTGCACTTTCAAACATTTTTTTATTTTAACATTTTTGGTACTCATGGATGTTTTTATCTTATAGAAATCTTTCAGCTGAGTAGTACTTTGATTATATCATCACTTTAATTGTCTTCTAACTCTTTCATTGTGGTATACCATAAAGTACATTTTAGGCAATGATACTTACTTTGAAGAGATCGATATGGCAACACAGTTTATACCTGCTGCATTTTTGTTTCATCTTCACTGGCTTTTCAGTATATCTTTTATCAAAAGTTGGCAGAATGAAAATCATTCACATTTAAATCCATTCAGGTTATTTCCAGTATTTTGTAGTCTTTGTAGTAGAAAAGCCAAATAATAGACAACGCACTACGTCAGGAGAGTTTTTCACTTGTCCAGTTACCGTTTGTTGTTTCAAAGATACAGCATGTTCACATTATTGTTATTGGTAACACACAGAATGTGAATCGTATGAAACAAATTTCATCTGTTACCAATCAAGAGCTGAAGATTATGCAGGAAGACCTCACTTTCAAATCAAATGAAATGCAGAAATCACAGAGCACTGCTAAGAATCTGATTACAGGTGAGATTAGCAATGAATTTTCAAATTCATTCCTTAAAAAAATTAAACTTACCTCAGTTGTTACACTAATAACAAGTACAAGATCAGTGATCTCCAAATATTAAAATATAGTGGCAAGTTGATGAATTCAAACTCTTGTGGGTAACAAGTTATTTATATTCCTCAGGAGTATTTAACTTAATACCATCAGTAAATGATGAGCTTACTTGCACAGATATATGTTAAACATGTATTTTAATACAGGGGCACAATGTTCTTTGAGCTAGAAGTTTGACTTTACTAATATTCACCTCAAAATAAATGTTTTTCACAATCTTAAAATAGTGTTTAAGAAATCGAGGTAGAGAATTCCACAGTTACATAACCATGTATTATATGTAAATGTAGTTCTTAGTATCACTTACTTACGGTTTCTGCTTTTCTAAAGGGGTACGTACCATGGGAGAATAACTGGCAACCATAGCGAATAGCTCTCAAATTCTCAGGCTTTGATTCTGCAAAGTGAATATTCATTTTGACTTCATTTTGGAAATACACAAATACTTAAAATTAAGTGTAAGAATCTGCAGTATCTTGCCTATAATTTCAAAAAGCAGACAGCATTTTTCTTTCATTTCCGTAACAAGTATCTATTTAGTTCTTTATTTGCACTGTTCATAGTGGAATTGTTCTCATAATTCTAAGCCGTTGCCAATATCATTATTGGTTCAGCAAGCCTTTCCTTGTTTGTTTGGCTGAAAGGAAGGGGCAGGAATTAAGAACCATAAATCATTCTGTTAGAAGGTTATTACGTGCTGTACTTGTTAGTAATTTTCAAAATAGGAGCCTGTGTTATAACTTCAAAGTAGTTACGTGCAAATAAGAAGTTGTTATGCACAAAGTGTTACAGAAATTGATTGTTCCGTTGCGTGTTTGAACATTTTGTGTTTGCTTGTTCGCTTGTCTGTGAATACTCATTTTGCAATTCTAGCGTAGTTTAAAAAGCTGGGCCATACATTACAAGTTCAAATATGACTTTTTGTCCTGTCATGTAAGCATCAATTCTTACTGCTTTACAATATAAGGATGTTCCGGAAGCACATAGCACTATAGAGACATTATTGAAAGACATATTTATTTCTTTGCAAGGGGAGAGAGGGAAGTTACCGTACATAATTTTCAACAGACCATTTAAATGATTCATAAGTAAACTTCTGAAAGCAAGAAATCACAGATACTGTAATAAACAACTTAAGATTCTTTCAAAAATACCGTGAATGTTCAGTTTGCACAGTTAAAGTTCTTCCTAACCCTTGAATTATAGCACAGTCATCTTCAGGATTCTTTTGTTGTGATTAAAATCTGGATTTCCATATTTTCTTGCCGTAGCAAAGATAAAAAAAGTCCACCAGCAGAATCCTTAAAAAAAAAGGGGGGGGGG